GTGTGTGTGTGTGTGTGTATCTATGTATCTATGTATCTATGTATCAATATATATATATCTAGATTTATGTATGCGTGTACACACATTCACAGGTACTCCTTCATCTTTCTGTCTCACCTCAATAGTACTTTGCATAAGAGGTTTTCAAGGTATCATCTCGGCGCCACGGCAAACACGTGCGTATATATCTATTTAGACGAAATATGCTCAAATGGCTATACCAATATATATATATATATATATATATATATATATAAGTTTTAGTTTTTCTAATTTGCATTCTTTATCCATAGAATACTTATATATTGTGGAGGTATATAAATGTGTATGCATGACTACACAAACACACTAACCCATACTAATATATATAGATGTAGTATAAATACATTGATTTTATTTTGCGAATATATTCGATTTGCTATGCTTACACATCGATATTTATCTTGTAACATCAGATCACAAAAGATTAGATTCGAACATGATATAGATGTACTTGCAGAGGCGAGTATATTAGATGCCGGTATCCGCTCTGTAGGTCAGAGTGGCGTTGGGGGTACAAGTTGCGGAAATGTTAGGAGGAAGGATAATATCCCCAAACCTTACAATTGTCACGACGCAAATTCTACTGGAGGATTGGAGAAGCCCCGCATGCATAAACGAACCATATTTGTAAATAGTCCGCTTAAAGCACCGGACTAGATTGAACCGTCATGGCATAGGCGGCCAATTTGTATGGTAGGCTTGTTGTGGTCATCGCCGTTGACCGTATAGCGTAGTTCGTTGCATTCCAATAAGCTTCGATGGGTACTTTGTGCCACTATACGTGCAGATATCAATCCGTTTACGGGTTTGCGATTGGAATGATAGACAGTATGAGCGTTAAATAGTAATGTAAAATTAAAAGCTCATACCCGAAAAACAGCATATATGGGTCGGCGGATTCTTCCCACCAGTGATGAATGATAGACGGAGCAAATGTAAGTTAGTATCATGTAGATTCAAGCTGGGATACGAACACCCGTAAGTGGCTTGCGAGAAGTGCTCAGGCACACACGGTAAATTCCACTAGTGTGCTAATACATCGAAACAACCGCATCACGATTGGTACCTACGATGGTATACGAACATGGCGAGCGGGCGGCGATTTTGATATATGATATCAGGAAACCTAGGTTTGATCAATTTCATACCACACCACAATGTACGCCCGTACCGTACGCGTCACTCACCCGAGTGAGGAACGTCAGGATTCAATTGACTGCATACGAATATATGGGGTTGTTCTTATCACCTCAGCCATGGAATTGTGCACGAGCAACCATACCGCTGAGACGTTAGATGACTATACATAAGTATAAGCGGAAAATCATCAGCCAGGATGCGAAAAGGACTCGCCCCTTTGCTTGGGTACGCGACGTCGCAGCCGTGGTGTACGTTAAGACGTGTGGAAGGCAGAGATATGCGATGTAGTGAATTTAAACACTAAAGCTATGACCACAGGAATTTTCAGGCGATATTCCACATTTGCGCTTGGATACTTGCCCCATTATACTACATTTTTTTGGCCGAGGCAGGATTTTATTATCATCTAAATTAGAGAGCTCGCATTCATTCGTATTTCAACTACGCGCATCTGGCGCCAATCTCTAAGCTAGCTTCATATAGGCGAATAGTCCTTTCAAAGTCGGTAACTCTCGGCCCAGCTTTGTCGCAGACAGCATATTCAAAAAGGTGAATACTCCCGGGTGCAGGACAAATTTGGCTACAGCCTTATCTTTCTTCGCAGTGAAGCTTAAGTCCTCATCACGTTCCGCTTGTAACCCCCTATCCAATACTGGTGTTCGCAAAACGCTCTTCTCCACACCATCAATGAAGAATAAATTACTTACTTGCCCACGTCCACTTTCAACGCTCTCCAGACTCTCGCCCGGGAATGCACCCCATGTCAGTCCAGTGGCGAAGAATCCAAACGCAGACCATGCATTCACTACGATACTGCCATACTTTAAGTTTGCAATTGCGGTTTCAACCTCAGCCACATCTTCCCTTGCTGTCATACTACAACTGAGACTACCGTATATGTAGTTATTGCATAGGTCGACGCCCGTTGCCAAGTCTTCGACATACGCTATGGTGAATACTGGGGCGAAAGGTTCATTTTGAAACGCGTATTCATTCGAAGCTTGCTTACGCCCTTCCTCTGTACTGAAGTTAACGTCAATCTCAACTACCAGCCACGGTACAACCTGTGGCTCATTGCTGAGCATCGGTGCAGTTAACTTACGCTCTGTTTTATTGTCTGAGATGATCTCCTTTGCCTCTTTATAGGCTGCTCGGAACCCATCCCATCGTTTCTTCATACCCGGATAGTATGCTACGGGCAATAGATCGCGCTGACACTCGCTGGTGATAGTCTGAATAAAAGCTTCTTTCTGTTTCCAGTGCCTAGGCAGTATCAACACTTTCGGGCTATTACAAGCTGCCCCGGCATTCCCGTACATAGCATAAAAGATGTGCTTCGCCTGATGGGCTAGTTCTTCAGCTGTATACTCTTGATCGGCGACCAACCAGGGGGTGATACAACCCAACTCAGAGGTCATCTCCGCTTTCAATACCGGCTTTTCTCTTTGCGGCCCACCCCAAACGATCGCATCATGTGTAGCCTTTCCTCCCGTCAAATGCACGTACGATACACACTCCGCATTTACAAGCTCCTGCGCGCGTGGAACGCCCTGATCAAGCTCAGTATCGAAGTAGCCCAGGACTATCAAAGGGGCAAACAGGTACCGAACTAGCTCATCGTGATGCGCACGAACTGGGTGATGTTTCATATACACGACTCGGTTGCTCTGGAATAGACCATGTAGTGCATCTACCACGCTCAGGAAGCAGAAGTTTCCCGCACCAAGTACTACCATGGCCCCTGTCTTGGTTGCGTCGTCTTCTAAGTTTTTTAAGTCAAAGGTTTTGACGTCAGATATTGTTTGCTTTAACCACACCTCGCCTCGACTACTTCCCAGCATACCATATTTGTCCGCCGATAAAACCGGGATGGTTTGCAGTACAGTCTGTCCATTTAAGGACGTTGTTTGTTGTAGTTCTGGTTTGGGTAACGTCCCTATCTGCAGCTGATACGCCTCAAGCAAGCGTTCTAAAGTACTTTTGACAATTACTATCTGCAAAAAGGTATTACTTGTTGCTACCAGCTCGCCCTCTGAGGTTTCTCTCGAAATGCCCATCATACTGGCCTCCTTAGCACCAAACATCTCAATGTAGTCTTCAAACTGAAGTGCGCACATTCGTTGTAGCATATGACTCATGAGCTCGATCTTCTTGTCCACGGCGAGAGCCCTCCAATCAGACTGTTTAGACGCAACATGCTGTAGGTTCATGAGAGACATTTTCTGTATGGATTTATATATAGTCTAAAGCCCTTCAGAGGTTAGGACATCAAAGTGAGCAGAACGAGAAGAAAGATAAAGCTTTTAGCAGGAGACATGAGACATCAAAATGCGCCGAGCATGAATCATGAATGAAAGTCACGAAGAATCATTTTCTTCAGTTTTTAAGAGTTAAAAAAAGGCCCAAGTTGTTTTAACTTAAATGGGTGTTCTCCTTACAAGTCATCAACTCATCATAGTCGTCTATCTCTTATTTTTAAAATCAAACAGTGTTGAGTGTTCTCAGTTCAGAGTTCATTTTAAAAAATAGTTGTTGAAGACGGTGTAATTTCGTATTTAGTTTGTCTTCAGACATAGCCTTCTAAACCCTTCAGATGCCTAAAATTAATATAAACATACAAGTTTATGATAGCCTTTGAAAGTTGAACCTTTTAGCCTTAATGAATGCCGAAGGGGCACGGAGCCACGGACCCGGAAGTACCTTTTACATTTTAGTTTTTTTTAATGTTATACTTTGTCTTGTTTCGTTGTTTGTTTGATGTTTTTAAAACTTTCCCTTGGCCATGGGGTAAGTTGGAGCTGTATTTAATACTATTTATTCAATATTTAGTATTTCGAACTTACGAAATGCTTTTAATAATTTGTTATTTTAAAATAATAAAAAACAATCAATGCTTCGGCGTATTGTATTTCTAAACATTTTTGATTTTTTTAACAAATAAAAAGGGAATTTTAAAAATATTCGAATGAAATTATTGAATCTATTTATTTACAATAATAACAGTTTTGTTTATAATATAAATATTTAATGTACTTTTTTTTATAAATATATAAAAGGTCAATTGTACTTTACTTGTTTTGCGCCTATAACTGAACGGCTAGAAGTAAATGCATTTATACATTGTAATAAATATATAAATATTTGCGGCTTGTGAGTATGTCTAGCTCTATTACATAGCCTCCTTAATATTCTACGAACTAAATTGAACATATTTACATATTTACATTAAAGTCCATCAAAAGACTAGTCTATACAATATACAGTTTACAAAATTGATATGTGTAAGGTTGCATGTATTTAATAACGGTACATAAATATTGGTCAGCGTTGGCTGTTTGTACCCTATCGATATTATTCTTGAGGATCGTTCGATTTGGCCCATGGCTAATAGAACCGATAGAAACGAAAAGCCACACATTATTTATTTTGATATGACATACGAGATGACACTGATAACAAAGTATTT